TTTTTGTTGTTGTTTTTGTTTTGACTAGAAATTTATTCTGAAATAAATTAGAAAATACCATAATGAGGTCAAGGACTATGATGGTTGGGATAAAGGGTTGGGATAAACGTATTAAATTCATGGTATTGAATATATAAATATAATTATGGTGATGAATATAGGTCAACAATGTAAACAGTCTCATTGTGGTTTTATGGTTATTGAAGAATAAAAGTGGATGCAGAATTCTGGAGAAGAATTTCCATAGTAGGCAATTGAAAATTAAATAAAGAAAATATAAAACACAACCTAATAATATCTATATCTATATAAATGTTCAAAGTGAAAATTTGACATTTTCGGTGTCAAAACTTGTTTTTGATTTAATTCGAATCTACACTAATTCAAGAATGTACCTACAAAATTTCAAGTGAAAATATCAAGAACCCTTGACGATATAGCCGATTTATTGTGTCAGCATCAAGTGACGGCTAAAGGGCTTCTCAAACTTTAAACGCGTTTTTCTCCTTTGCGAATGGCGGGCACGATAACTCAAAAACTAATGACCTAATCGATTCCAAATTTTTACATGTTTCTCTGTGAGTATATAGCTATCGTAAGAACTAGGATAAAGCTAATCGGTGGAGATTTTCCTTTTTTATACCCTTCACCACACTGTGGTACAGGGTATTATGTCTTTGTGCATATTTTTGTAACAGGCAAAAGGAAACGAGATAGACACATGGTTCCTTTTGAGAATATGCATAGAATCACTTTCTACGTCGATTTATGCATGTCCGTCCGTCTGTCTGTCCATGTTAAATTGTAAACAAAGTACAGGTCGCATTTATGATCCGAATTGGATGAAATTTGGCATAGGTCACTTATTCGGCCCAAGGACGAACCCTATTGAAATTTGGAAAATCGGTTCAGATTTAGATATAGCTCCCATATATATATTTAACCGATTTAATGTAAACGGTCCCTATATATCTTTCGATTTGCATGAAATTTGGTACAGCCTAATCATTTAGGTCTAGAATGATGTCTGCCAAGTTTCGTGAAAATCGGTCCAGATTTAGATATAGCTCCCATATATAGTTTCGTCCGATTTCATGTAAATGGTGCCCAAAGTCCCTATATATCTTTTGATTTGCACGAAATTTGGCATAACGTACTGAATTAAGCCTAGAGTGATGTCTGCCAAGTTTGGAGAAAATCGGTCCAGATTTAGATATAGCTCCCATATATAGTTTCGTCCGATTTGATGTAAATGGTCCACCAAAGTCGCTAAATACCTTTCGATTTGCACGAATTTTGGCATAACGTACTGAATTGAGTCTAGAATGTCTGCCAAGTTTCGTGAAAATAGGTCAAGATTTAGATATAGCTCCCATATATAGTTTCGTCCGATTTCATGTAAATGGTGCACCAAAGTCCCTATATATCCTTCGATTTGCACGAAATTTGGCATAACTTACTTAATTGAGCCTAGAATGATGTTTCGTCCGATTTCATGTAAATGGTGCACCAAAGTCCCTATATATCCTTCGATTTGCACGAAATTTGGCATAACTTACTTAATTGAGCCTAGAATGATGTTTCGTGAAAATCGGTCCAGATTTAGATATAGCTCCCTTTTATTATAGATTGATTTTAAGTAATTGACGTACTAAGGAACCAATAGGAACAAAACATTCTGAAATTAGTATAACCTAACCTGTGACAAGTTTGTTTGAAATCGCTCAATATTTTGATAGATCTTCCATATATATTTTCGCCCGATTTCAAGTAAATTGGGCATCAAACTCCTCATGTTAGTCAAATTGACATCAAATTAGGTAGATTTAGGTAGATTCACATTTAGATAAATATCACATTTTTTTTCATCCAATTTTATGTTATAGTCCTGTTTAATATACCCATAGTGGTGAAGTGTATCATATAGTCGGCCCCGTCCGACTTTACTACTTTCCTTACTGGTTTTAACTTGGTTTTTGGTAAAAAAAAATCGGCGATTTTCAAAAAAAATATTTTTTCAAAGGTCCGCCATTTTATTAATTTTAGAGCGAAGTCAATAATCCTAGTTCATACGAGAGATAGACATGTGCTCTTTCTGACACCGTTGGAATTTTCGGATTCCGATGTTCCAGTGGGGAGTTATCATGTCCGCCATCAAAAATAAGGACTTTTCTTTAATTACAAAAAACAACAACAAAACAATAACAAAAATTGTTTGTAAATTATTTTACTTCTCTTTTAAATCTTCAATTATATATGTGCAAAATTACAAACATTAACAAGCATTGGCATTGATTTACCAGTCCATTGAAAATCTAGAAAAATTAAAATCGTGAATGGGGGAGGGGGGTGGGCTGGTTCTCTTAAACAAAAAATGTTTATCACGTTTGAAGTCTGTGTCCAATATAGCTCAAAAACGGCTGTTTTTTATTATTTTTTTTTTTTTTGGATTGGGTATTCTTGCAAAATCCTGTCCTTGCTGATTGGTTCCTTAATTTGGATGTATATGATCCAGAATTCACTGAAAAAATTATTCTTCAAAATGGATTACGTCTTTAATAAGCACATTTTCACATTCATTGTCTGGTTAATAGTCCAATTACTACAACAATATAACCCTTTATAGTTCGAAGTCGTAAACTAAACAGTTATATTGTTCAACCACTGGATATATCTGACTCTTTAGCAAACAATTTCGTTTGTGTTATAAGTAATGTTTTACGTTTTCAAATAATATTTTTAATCCGTTTGGTTTTATTGTTTGAAAATCCGGTTAAAACATTTGTCCTTAAGGATTCTTAATATACAGAATTTCCCACCCCAAAAATCTTGTTGCACAGTGTAATCAGCTTCAAGATTGTTCATACTCTGAGAAATCATATTGGAAAACGAGGTTATGAAATTCAACATACAAAAAACCAGTAAGGAAAGTAGTAAAGTTGGACTGGACCGACTATATGGCACCCTTCACCACATTGGGTATATTCTACATAGTCTCCTACCAGACGTCGCCTTTTCACGAAACTTAGCACACATTATTCTAGACTTAATTTGTATGATATGCCAAATTTCGTGCAAATCGAAAGATAGTTGGGACTTTGGAGCACCGTATTTAGCTTAAATCGGACGAAAATATATATGGGAGCTATATCGAAATCTGAACCGATTTTCACGAAACTAAGCACAAATCATTATAGACTCAATTCAGTACGCTATGTCAAATTTCGTACATATCGAAAGATATTTAGGAATTTTGGCGCACCATTTACCTTAAATCGGACGAAAATATATAAATGGGAGCACGATTTTTTTTAATTTCAATGGGTTCGTCCTTCGGCCAAATAAATGAGCTATGCAAAATTTTATCCAAATCGGATAATAAATGCGACCTGTACTTTGTTTACAATTTAACATCAACAGGCAGACATGACGGACGGTTCTGCTAAAACCTTCACAAAATCAACGGAGGTCATAATATTGGTGATGTGACAAAACATGGACGTATTAACAATTTCCCACTACTGTATTTTTTTACAAACTAATAACCGGAAATGCCTCATTATATTCTTTCGATTGTGAAATGTTCCAGATCGGATCATTTTTTCTAATGCTCCCATTAAACTATTCTCCCTGATTTTCGATATTTTGAGAATTTTCGACACGTTTTTCAGCCGAAATGGATGTAGTTTTATATTTTGGATTGTAATTGCCTTTATAAAAATCTTTTTAATATTGGTCAAGTTTTTAAGGGATCCCTCATTTAAAAGTATCGCCAAAATTTCGGTATCTTGAGGATTTTGGACACGTTTTACGATAATTGTGAACGTTGGGTTCTAATGTAGAACTAAATCTTCTTGCTAAATATTATCAATATTGTTTCAACATTTTGGGTACCCCCCATTTTGGCGATTTTGTATACTTTTTACATATCAGCCAGAGTGGCAGGTAATGGTAGACAAAATTTGATGTCAGAATTTTATACTTTTATTTATTGACTTTTGCGCCGCTAATTCGATGATTCGTACTACTTTGAAGTGGGACATATTGTGCGGATCCTTTATTACTATAATTAGGAGGTATGCCAATAAAATGTCTCTAAGCTGAACATTTCAACATTCAAAATTACAGACCCTTCGGTTGAAAAATCAGTTAATAAACTTTAATATGTCGAAAATAGGGGATACATTGTATGAGGACATCACGAAGGCGTTGCCCGATAAGTTTCATTTACAATACCAAACCACCTAGAAGTAGTGATGTGATTTCTTTCTTTCCTAATTTCAAAATAAGGATAGAAGGACGGATATTTAATATTATATTAACTTTATGAGGTCTCCGACAACTATTTGGAGAATTTGAAACAGAGTGACAAGTGTGACAAAATCAGTGATAATAATCTGATCTGAATAATCCCGATCTGACCCTCAGGAGAAGAAACCAAATTTTGAAAAGCAGATACTAAATCTTACATTCAAAATTGTATCGAGAATAACGTTTTCGTCCTTTCATAATTAATGGGTTTGGTCACAATTTGCCGCAGAAATGGCTTTACTTCAGTATTTTGGTTTCAGAGCGTGCTCAAACGTTCTAGAAGGAATTCTCAATGTAGACCCACATTCTGATAAACTATTTACTTAGCGACAAGGTTTATATTTTGTAATTTCTATCCCCGACTGTAATATAATTCCCGATGAAATTCTTGGTACATTCAATCAATTTTAAACTGCCCTCCCACTTTTCTATTTTTTTCCACTTTGGCTTTTATTAGCCACACTTTTTTTACAATAATATTTTGGTCTGACCATCCATAATAAATGTCACTTTCTGGTTAATTTTATTTACTACGACAAAGTTGTTCTTTTTTTCTGCCTTCATATTTTCCTAACATAAATGTCAATAAAATTCTACAAGAAAACTTGTGTGTGTCAGGTGATCAAAGAAGAACGAACACCATTGTGTATATGGGCAACTACTAGCTAAAATTCTTTTAACTAACTTACCTGCCAAGTGACAATCAATTCACTTTCGCCACCAGTCTGCACCTGGACATTGGATGGCGCTTCGGTGGGTGCTTCCTCTTGGGTCTTCAAGACAATTGGCTCGGTAAAGGGACTGCGTTCAATTTCATTGATGGCCTGCATGCGTATCAGAAAGGTAGTGGCCGGTGTCAAACCCGATACAATGGCACTTTCACGTAAGTCGCTGTCATAGCTGTCAACACGAAAATATTATGTAATAAAAATTGGAAAGAAGTAGGAAAAGACAGGATAAAAATTAGATATGTCAAGAAAACAAAATGGACATCTAAGTGAGTGCGGAAGAGAAAAATGAACGACTTCAATTTCACCTTTTACTTATACTGGTCGATGGCAATGTTACATTTATTATATTCGGACCATTCCAATCACTGCCGGCCAAACCCAGTGCCGTATGAGATTGTAGA